GCTCCTCATCATCCTCCTCCTCATCAGGTACCGCGGCCCTCTCATCAACCTCGAACGGGTCGATCTCGGCTTCGATCTCCCCATTCTCCTCCTCGGGAAGGTCCTCGTCCTTGGTAGGGTTGATCCGCGGGTGGGAGTATGCCCCCACGAGTAGATAACGGAGGCCCTTTTCATCAGCGCTCTCGCCCTTCGTCCGGAAGGACCTGCAATGTCCAGGCCCAAAGTATAGGCCGATGGTGCCAGACACCTTCTGTGTGCGTGGCTTCGGCCCGAACGCAGGTCTGGCACCTGCGGTCGTAGGGCACATGCCCGCTTCGCACGTGCTTCGCCCAGTAGGCCAAGTCCTTCGCGTTCATCTCCCTGGGTGCACCGAGCTTGCGCATCATCACTTCCTCCCTTCGCTGGCTGTGTCGCCTCCACTGAAGCATAGAATTGGCCGGCCAGTCCACACCTGAGTTCAACGGGCCACGCTGACGCCGAGGTCTTGTAGTTCAGGTCCGGAATCTGGCCTTCACTCACCGATACTCCATCAGACAGCTGGAGAGTGCTCGCCATAAAGTACACCCCATCCATGGCCGCAGCCGCATGGTACTTGAGATACCGGAACTCGTCCTTGAAACGGGACCAGGTAAAGCTCGTCCAGATAGGGTGCCAGGTTGGTGCCTCCATCAAGAAGAAGGGGGAGCGCAGCCCTCCAGCCGTTGCCGCGGTGTGCGCAACCAACCAAAGCAGCAACATCCGTCGATACAACATGGAACCCGACTCCGAATCGCGAGGGGGGCCACCCAGGATGCCCTCGATCTGGCCCCTTGCTGCTGCTGCCCAGGTGAGTGCTCGCACAGCTGCCGTGTAGGTCCTCAAGTCAAAAGCCTTGTTGTTCTTAAGGTCCATCCTCACGACCGTCACATCCTCCGACTCTGCCTGGGCAAGCTCAGGACCTTGCTCATCGCCATTGTACAGATGGACAATCCACCTCGTGCGGAGCATCCTCTTCCGCATTGCTCGGTTGTAGGGAAGGGCCTTCAAGTAGTGGGCCCCCGCATCGTCAAAGAGGAACAGCCTGTCGTCAACACCCAACAAAGCTGTAATGTCCTCCTCCAGTGGAGCCTGCAAAGGTGACTCTTCATCCAACAGCACCCGACGTAGAGCAGCACGATCTCCGTTGTTTACGAACTCCTCCAGGTGGTCGACCCAGGTAGTGGGTGACTCGTCCACTGAGAGGGTGCGTATTGCACCTTCTACCGTCTTGGCCTCCAACTTGTCCAGCTTGGCCTGTTCCAGGTCACTGATCAGCTGGAGCGCTTCTGCTTCCCGAAGGACCGGCGTGTTTCCCACCAACTTGGTGGGGAGGAGGCCATACTTGGGGTGGCTTCGGAGTCCCTTTTTCCGATTCCATTCCAACCTGCAGCCCAGCGCCTCCACCAAGCTTCCAAGCGGGATGATCGTGCCCCCGTTGTCGTTCTCGGCGAGCAAAGTCCCTCCATCGTTCTGCTTCAAGAAAACCGACTTTCCGTCGGCAAGCTGGACCTTGACCCTCCGGGAGATCCGGGCTTCCTCCTGAGTCTTTGGCTTTCGGTGTGCGTGAGAAGCCCCGCTATCGAGTAGGGCCATTCCATGGCTTTCATCCAAGCCCTGCGACCTCAAGAGCAGCTCCAGATCCATCACGGCCTTGTCCGTACAAGCCTGCATCGGGGCCAAGCGCTTGATCTTGGAGAGGAACTGCTCAGCCAATTCGCGAATCTCACCGGTATTGGGAGTCGCTTCATTGAACAACACCGTCGAGGCTGCCGAGGATGAACCACTTGACGTGTTCGTAGAGCTCAAGTTGGCCGGGTTCTCCAAAGTCGATGTCGCCGTGGTCGCTGGCGTGACAGCCGTGGCAGTAGACGGGGCCGGAGGGCTGAGCGCTGCAACCTGAGGAACCGTGGAGGTAGTAGATGAAGTCGAGAGTTCACCCTGAGGTCGCCTCTCCGTGCCTTTTTGCGCCGCGCTTGTCATTGCCCTTGGTCGGGCAATCTGTCTGCCGGTGCTTCTTGGATCCACAGGTCCAGCATCTTGCCTTCTTGTCCTCCTTGGAGGCAAACAAGTGGGAGAACTTGCAACCGGCACCTCGGCGGCAACCATCATCCGAAGCCCAAAACTTGCAAGGTTGTTTCTGACCTTGACCCTTGCCCGTTGGGGAAGTAGTAGATGAGGTCGGCGATGTGGGTTCTGAGGTGACGCCCTTCAAACGCACCGAGTTCTCCTTGTTGTAGGGGATGATCTGCTGCAGCTCGGCGATCACGTGGTCCACATACACCATCACAGACGGGAGCACCGGTCGGTAAGGAAGGCGCAGCTCTTGCTTCGCCACGTTCAACTTGAAAGAGATGTCCTTGTTGCCATCCGCAACTGGCCTCACTGCATTCTCGACCGCCATGAGCAGCACCGAGCCATCAGGGAGGGAAACATTCATCTCCGAGGCTCTCACCGTGAGCTTCTTCCACCGCATGAGGGAGCTGATGAGATCCACGACGGAGTTGTTGGCGGGGATTGTCTCCAACTGCTTCAGTAAGCTTGCCCTTTCCGCCGCCCCCCAGGTGCGTAGATCACGTACAACTTGTACAGAACGTCCTTCACGTGGGGCAGCCTCAGCATCAGGACCTCCTGTTTCACCGATGCCGTCATGCACTGGAGAAGCAAAGCCATTACCCGCTTGTCCAAGCGGGCCCATCTCTCGTCATCGGCATTCATTCGGGTGGGTGCCCATCGTGATCGTCAACCGCTTGAGCGGGGTCTCGTTCTGGTAGCGGTGGTAGGCTTCCAGGGCCAAGTCCAACACTGCATTCCACCAGACGCCCGCCTTGTCCGTGATCGAGCTGATCACCTGCCCGGTTTCGTAGATCCACTCGAGGTAGGATACCGAGCTCGCATCCTGATAGGGCTCGGGCAACTTGGGAAGCTCGAGACTGCCCTTAATCAGTTCGGGCTCCGGTCCTTCCTTCCGAAGTTGTAGTTGTTGAAGTTGCTGTTGCTGAATGCCCTGAGCCAAAAGGTCCATGGTGGTGTTCGCACCTCCATCACTCACACTCCGAGCGCCATTCTCGGTCGCACCCTGTTCTGGATACTTGCCCGCCGGCCCCTGTGGCTTTCCTGCAGCATCACTCCGTCCGCCACCATCAGGATTTCCGGTAGGTCCACATTCGGCGCCTCGTCCTTGCTCACGACACTGTCCCGCAGGAGCACCCGCTCGGGGTCCCAAAGGAAGAGAAAGTCCTGGTGGAGCTCGTAGCTGCCTGGTGCGCTGGTAGTAGTGAAGGTTCCCCTCGTCCAGAAGCTGGGGCATCGGGTCCCGGAGAAGTTCTGACCTCGGACTCCCGGTGTCCTCCTCCACTGCCTGTTCCCGACCGCTCGTGCTTCCGACTCCCCTTGACTCCACTCCAGCATCCATCACAGACATCAAGAGCTGCCTGAGCTCCATGTTTTCCGCTTGCAAGTCGTTCGCTCGGCTGTCCCGCTGAGACATCGCCTGCTGCACCACCCTCCGTACCTCCTCTTGGACCATCTCCGTTGTTGTTCATGTGTCGGAAAGTTCGGTGTAGCCAACGACCAAGTAGGGGATTGGGAGTACCACGAGGTACGAGATCCTGCAGGAAGAGGTCGAAGACGCTCAAAAACCGGTACTAGGCCCTTCTGAACAAAACCTCGCAGTCTTGTAAACCAAGCCATCTGTTCCCCTGCATGCTCAACCACCTCCCCGGTTTCCGCTGCCACGCTGCTAGGACTGTCCACAAGACCTTGGCGAGTCATCATCGAGGCACGGGACTGCAGGGCACTCACCAGGGCTGCCCTTTGCTCCGCCAACTGAGCCAAGGCCGGACCCACCCCTGACGGGACTCCTGCAGTCAACGGGCTCATACATCCAGAGCCGCCCGAGGTCACCACAGGCGCTGTCGCCTGCTGCGGCTGTGCTAAGTTCCTTCCAAGGCCACCCTGGATCACTTCAGGCGCTGTAGTTTGCTGATGTTTGCTGCGGCTGTGCCATGTTCCTTCCAAAGCCACCCTGGATCACTTCCGGCGGTGTAGCTTGCTGTGGCTGCGCCTGTGTCGGCATTCGTCCTTGTTCGGGTGGACTAAGGATGACTGGCCTCGTTGTGGTAGTAGGTTGCTGGAGCTGTGATGTTCCAGAGGGCTCAGGTGGTTGTTGCATTCGCGGTGTTGCGACGTTGTACTGCTCCGGTGTGGCTTGACCGGGCTGCTGTGCATCAGCCTGCCTAACCGCCTCTTGACCCTGAAACCTCGTGTCGCTCGCGCCCGGTCCGGTTCCCAGTACACCCAGCGACGATCCAGCTTGACTTCTCCCACTGCCTTGCGAACCCGTCGGACCAGTTCCAGCCCCAGGTACGTGTGGAAGCTGACGACTCCCTTCGGAGCCGACAGCTGCCACCCCGTTGAGGAGGTTCTATCCTTCGGCCATGGTTCGATTCCCGGGCAAACCGACGTCCAGAAAGTTGTCTCGGGCTCCACCCAAGGCCACTCCACCATACGTCGAAATGCCCTCCGCCACGTCTCCTTCTCCCGCACCACTTCGCGTGGAATGGGCGCTCATAACCTGAAAACTTCAAACTCCGGGTTGAGGTCGTAAGTTGTATCTTGATGGAGCAGAAGCGAGGGGAGCTATGGCATCGAATTGCGGGTTCTTTTTACGCAGCAGCACATGTTCGTGGCTGGCTTCTGTCGATCATGGCCTAAGCTCTTTACAAGGCCATGTTGGCAATTATGCCTCAGTACGGTCACACATCTCAACTTGCCAAGTGTACAAGTGTGCAAGGATCAGTGCAACATACTCAAGATCTTAACGCCGTTTGAGCATTCAAGTGCTCGATGGTCACAAGGTTTCATGACCCCATGGTTGAAGCATGCAGACCTGCTGAACTTCACATTTCATCACAATGCTTTGCGCACCCTGCGACTGGGGCTCTCCGTTTGATTGGTCGCTTTTCGTGTAGACTCGATGCTAGGCTGAACGTGGTCTTTCATCCCGAGAAATCTGCGTGGTACGCTCAATCGCTGAGCCCATCAGGATCGTATGCACAACGGTCTCCTGTCGTGTCTTGTTCTTCAGAGCTGCCCAGGCCGCCATTCTTCGGAGGTGACTGCCGAAAGTTGTGCACGTTGACGGCTGGAGCTTTGTTTGGTGTTCTCCCTTCAGCTGTGTGGTGGAGTTGCACAGGCGTGACAGTGTTCTTCATCGATCCGCCCAGGTGCGTCAATCGGGCTGCTCATACTGGAATGTTTTTGGTCTCATGCCATGCAAAGTGCTGGCTGTCGTTGCGGCAAATGAGAATTTGATCGACTGCATCTTCTCGACTTGACTCTGAGCCGAGCTACTCGTACCCAAACTGGCAAACTCAAGTTCTGCAGTGTAGTTCAGGTGGGACTGCCGCAAGTCTGCGAGTGTTGTCACCGTTGCTGAATTAGATTACCCTGATCTTACGAGAATGCTTCCTGGGGGGCGGCCCCCTGCGAGAATCGCACAAGGTCAGTCCAACAATTGCGACGCACACATTCGTAAAGACCCTCCTTTTTCAACCTGCGTTGCTCACCTCAGTCTACATGCATAGTGAAAGGCTGGACATGGATTTCACCGGCGCAGCCGACTTTGTGGACATGCCCGTCCTTCGCAATGTTGTGAGGCAACGGGGCCGGGCCGGGTTTGTGGATGCGGAGCGATCATCTTGTGGATGCCAAGTGCCAAGGGCCAAACAGAGCGAGGCCCAGACAAGCAAAAGGCATGAGCAAGCTAAGTTCTCACCACATCATAACTGGTGGGTGTGAAATTGGTTGCTTTTATGGGGATTCGGCGATACCGGGGTAGGAGTATTTCAAACCCCTCATGAGTTAGTCGACACTTTCGGTCAGCTGGCAGGTCCACTATTCTGCATGCGGTAAGCGGGGCTGCCTGCTGCCAAGCGAGTCGCAACTCTATCCACGGGCTGCTCCTTCTTGTCTTTGAGAGTCTCGGAAGGTTTCACAGGATTGCGTGTGGGTAAGCGACCGTGCGGGTGCGCAGGCATGGCATGGCATGGTACCCCAAAGGAGCTCGCTTTCTCAGGTCGTTCTGCCAGCACGGATCGCCGTCGACCTGAACGAGGACCTCACAAAACACCCTGCCACTACGCTTCTTGTTTCGGGTAACCTGGAAACTGCATATGTTTAGGATTTGCGGATCTCCAACATTCTGTGGACTCTTAGTGTTGATGTCGCCTCACTATACGTCGTGCCACAGAACTGCATCCTGTTGTTAGTTAAGGGAAAGAAGACGCTGTCTGAACTTTGATGAATGTCCGTGCTGACGAAGGACGATGACACCGATCAGGCACGCTGGTTGCCTGCGGCTGTGGCTATGGAGATCTATGGAGAGCTCCGAAAACCTTTCTCAGGCGGATCTCAGCTTCCCACCTCCCGTGGGCATTCTGCGAATCCTCGTGAGGATTCCCGTTCTGTGTGACTGAAGAAAGAAAGACTTCGCAGGATGTAGGAGATATAGAGCTCAGGAGCCAGATCTCGCAGCATGTTCTCAATATCAAGCTTGTTCAGTGCAGTTCCATGCCGGACTGACTTCATTTTGATACGGGCTGGACGTGTGTAGCCTTCGCAACCCAAGTCGTGCAACTGAGAGGAAGGGCACAGACCTTGTGGCCGCCGATTTTGGCTTGCGACCCTCTTCGGACCGGGGAGAGTCGGGGAAGGATGGGAGAGTGCTTTAACGGAGCAGGCTGATGTTGGAGCACTGCAGGACCCTTTCGTTGTCATTGAGGCACGGAGCTGCATGTGCGCCGGTAAGTGGCGTGTGTGCAACGTTGTCGGTTGTCAGGTGGGGCAGCAGCGTTGGCAGTCCTCCGTCGTCGAGAAGTCATTGAACCCTGCTGCGGCCTGTGTAGCAGAAGCCTTCTTTTCCTTCGGCGCTGGTGGCACCAAGCAAGGTTTGGGAGCACGGAAACGTGCAAGACTTCTTGGTGTACGACAGGGGCCAGAAGGCGAACATCCATGTTTACGACAAGGACGCGCCGTGCCGATGGTCGTTTCGTCCGAATCGATTTACCATCGCATGGAGTCTGGTGCTATCAGGTCCTCGGGCCTAGGGCTCTCGTCTGATTGTCTCATCGGGCTTAGATTCGAGTGTTCTTGAGCCGTCACTCCAGCAGCAGGACACTTATTCTCGCGATGACCTCATCGGATCAGTGTCGCGGGCCCGTCACCCATGTTGCGCGCCAGAGTCGCTACGGCCGACGGCTCTCTCTCTCTCTCTCTCTCTCTCTGCGGGCAGATCGACCTGGAGCCGCTCATGCTTCGGAAGCCTTGCGACACTGACTTCTCACTCAGCCTGGAGCTGCTGCCTCGGCTCGGAGCCAGAGCCAGAGGGCGAGGCTCCGCTGTGAGAGAGACGTCGCCGAGGGGGCGGCCAGCCGGCACTTTGCAGATCTCCTCGCGTTGGCCTGGAGCGCAGCTTCGACGAGCCTTTGCTAGTGGAGGCACGATGATCACCAACGTGCTCAACCAGGTTTGAACTCTCTCCGTCGGCTCCACCCGATATCCCTGCGGCCGTGGCGAGGTGCCGGAACTAAAGTCCGAGAGGTGCAACCAAATGCTTTGGGGACATGGATGCACAGTTTTGCAGCATCCCATTTCGACGGCATCCCTTTTTGGGACACTGCGAAGGGGACCTTCGCAATTGGTCCTGGCCGTGAAGTTGTTAGGCACAGCGTGGGATCCGGTGTCGGCATTTTTGGTGTGTGTGTGTGTGTGTGTGTGTGTGTGTGTGTGTGTGTGTGTGTGTGTGTGTGTGTGTGTGTGTGTGTGTGTGTGTGTGTGTGTGTGTGTGTGTGTGTGTGTGTGTGTGTGTGTGTGTGTGTGTGTGTGTGTGTGTGGTGTGGTGTGTGTGTGTGTGTGTGTGTGTGTGTGGTGTGTGCGTGTGTGTGTGTGTGTGTGGTGGGTGTGTGTGTGTGTGTGTGTGGGTGTGTGTGTGTGTGTGTGTGTGTGTGTGTGGGTGTGTGTGTGTGGTGTGTGTGTGTGTGTGTGTGTGTGTGTGTGTGTGTGTGTGTGTGTGTGTGTGTGTGTGTGTGTGTGTGTGTGTGTGTGTGTGTGTGTGTGTGTGTGTGTGTGTGTGTGTGTGTGTGTGTGTGTGTGTGTGTGTGTGTGTGTGTGTGTGTGTGTGTGTGTGTGTGTGTATCCTTATGGATGACCATTTGGGCAGGAGCAGGTGCACTGGTGCTGGTGACAATGCTTCAAGTGTTTTTGACATGAGACGTTTCTGCGGGATGCTGCATGAGTAGTCCCTTTCGATGGCAATCCCACCCATACAAAGCTGCAGGGTGACCTTGATTCTCGAATGCATCAAACCTCTGCAGTCTGCTACAGTTGATGTGTGGTGGTTAATTTGCCCTGGGTCTTTTGTTGACTGCGGCACTCAGGCATGCGGTTGCGCTTCAGTGATCCATTGCCTTGAAATGCGACTGCTTCAGTCGAGATCTTTGCCACTAGGACCACTAGGAATGCTCTTTGATCTATGGCTTGTCTGAAACTGTCCCAATTACCTGAAGCTCGAGGTGATTCAATATGGCATGGAGCAATCAAGCATTCGTTGTTCTGCTGTCTGACACTGAGCGCAGGTATCACGGACCTGTCTTTCTGGCGAGCTTCATGACCTGAAACTTTGTATCCGACGTGTCGATGCTGGCCCCGAACATCAGAGTTCAGTGCCAGGCCAAAGTCCTACAAGCCTCCTTTCGTCGGTGGCCTTAGAGTGTCACGTCTTCAGGAAACGTGCTCGTTTCATGGCAGAGACCGAGGTTGTGCAAGTGGAGGTAAGCACGGTCAATGCTGTGCTCACAAGCAGAAAAAGCCTGCCGCAGCATCCCAAGCACGACGTTTCAAAAAGCTTCGTGTGGCAGTGTGCTTTGGGTTTCAGTTTCAATGTACTTCCTGACTCATGCTCGCTATCGTCAGAGATGTCGGGCAACAATCGCGCAAATAATCGTGATGGCCAAGGCCCAGCAACATCAAGCCCGTCGCAGTCGAGGTTGCCGACATCGCACGGAGGTTCAGTCACAGACTGTTTGTCAGTCTTGAGCAGTGCCATTGCTCAGTGGATTGCAAGGCTGTGTTTGCAAACGGCAGCAACTCTCCTCTTGTTTCCCTCTGGTCTCGACGCTTCTTGCCAGGCTGCACAGAGCCCACAATCCGATCAACCAAATCTCGGAGGTCACAGGCAAGGATGAGCAGCGATGTCTGTGACGACTTGGACAGGTGGTTTGCTCTATGTAGCCTGCCCACTCACATTCGTTGAAGTTCTTCACAGTGTCATGTTGGACATTCTGCAGACTTGATGCAGGTCTGGAGCTCCGAGCTGTAAGCCTCGCCATTGCACAAGACTGCACGACATGCTCGTGTTACTTATATTCGGTTGCACCGCTTCTGTTTCATCATGTTTCATCTGCTACGTATTGAGCGCCTCGCTCATGCAGGACTCCCCACAGAGCTATGCCCGTGCAAAGGAGGCAGATTGCATTCAAGCTGCGACCATATCGACGTCCACTGCTGGACTGTTGAGCTGCATCGTATTCTCAGACTATGGGTTGCAGCTCCCACATGTGGAGGAAGCAGTCGCCGAGCTCAGCGCAACGCAGCTCGGCATGGAGACCGAAATCCTTGGAGGGCTGCTGCTGAATAAGAACCCTTGGCAGCAGACTGCAACGAGTGTGGAGGCATCCAGCATTCAACCAGATCCTGCGACTGCCGCTTCCCTGGACATCCGAAGTCGTCAACTCTGCTGCCTGCCTGGCTGGACTTCTCAAGTGTGCTCATGCATGCTAGTGTTGCTTTGAATCACCGAGATCGCCTCACCTTGGATTTAGCCACCTTCATCGAAGATTTGCTAAGGTCCCTGATCCACTAGTCAGTAGCCGGGTTCTTCTGAGTCAGTTGTCTGTACCTAGCACTTGCTGGGTCAAGATGCTGTGTTGTGTTGAGTGCAGTGTCGGGCAGGGCCCACGGAAGAAGCAGCAAAGTGGTCCTAAGCCCCAAGACCCCGAACCCCCAAAAACCGTATAATTCCCGTAGAATGTTTGAGTCCGTCTCGTTCGCTCTTGCGCCAGACGGTGTCCCTCAGCCTCTCGGACCGAACGGACAGGCAAGGCCCTCGGCAGCAGGGCTCAGTGTAGATTGAGGGGGTCAGTGTACCACCAACCGATCAACTCTTGCACAGTTATTGGCACGCTGCTGCAATACCCAAACGACATCATGTTTGTTGATTGGATCGCCAGTTGGCACTGACTGAAGGGACCCACTTTCAAGGCGATGCGGTGTGGTTTCGCCTTCGCACGCCCTCTGGTGAGGATGGTAGAGATGATGGAAGACAAGCACGCTGTGCATGTCCGCTTCTGCGTTGAGATCATGCAAACGCAGCTCAGGCAGAGCCTGTTGCAAGTTCGAAGCACCTCAGGTACCGCTGATGTTCGCCAAGTTAAGTCAAAGAAGCAGGCAAATCTGCTGTCCGCACTTTCATCCTGACCTTCCCAGCATCCATAGACATTACCTGGAAGCCGCCTACGTCTCTTGGGACTGAATGTTTGGGCCGGCCATTGCTTAGGCGGCTGGCAAAGGCAGTGGTGGTTCGCCTCGCAGATGTGGCGGCGGCCGAGGCGTTGTCCGGGCAGGAGCGAATTGAGCCCAAGAGGCACCGTGTTGCTGTTGGAGGATGCAGGTCTGGGTTTCCTGTACCGACAGACTTCACGCTCCTGTTCGGCTCACTGGACGGGGATTTGTCACCGGTCTGCATGTCCGCGGTCGGTCCGTCGGTTTCGGTGTGCAGATATCTGTGAAACTGGAAGCCTTGCAGGTGGAAGGTGGCTTCGCCCTGAGCTGTGGCGGAACACTCCAAGCAAAGCTGAGCTTCTTGGCCTCATAATTTTGCAGAGCCTATTCACAACGATGTCAAAATGACAACCCAAGACACATTGGCCAGCAGCTCAGGCATCGCCTGGATGGCACTTCCAAACTGAAACCTTCCAAGTGCCAAGCACTGCTGCTGCTCTTCCTGGATGGATCGCGATTGCTTGCTCATCCCCTGCCTACATCAATTTTCACTTGAAGTCAGCTGCATTCGAATGCAAAAGACTCAGGGTTCTGCAACATGCGGGCGTTGATCGTTAGCTTGGCGATCTCTGTATGGCTGTCGGTCATGTTCCCACCGCCTGTGTAGGCCCCACAGCGTATCGCTCTGTTTGTCAGAGTTAGGGTCAATGAAACGGATGTCGGATCTTGAGGGTTGGATATGTTGGCATTCTCAAAACAGTTCACAGTCAATACCTGCAGGACGCACAAATGGGATCAGGTGCACAGACTGTTGGTTGCGGCTTGGGGCCGGCGTCAGGCTCCCTGCTGGTTTTGACGGACATCAAGAAGCAAAGGGTTGGCATTGGTTTGCATTTCCCATTGCATCTCTGGGAAAGAGTTAGTTCACTTGCAACTGCTGCCGAATCAAATCGCATGCTGTTTGCGCAAAATCGAGTGGAATTCGGATTGAAATATGAACCACAGCAGAGACATGTGCAGAAGACTGCACCGCGTCCATATGATCCAAGGGTCGGACGTGATAAGTCACAAGTGGTGAATGATGAAGTGTCGAATTCCGCAAGGCCAATGACCCAATGGAGACTGTTGGGAACGAGCCAGATGTGGCTGATCGCCAAGGGAAACCGCATCTTTGGGCTCAGCAACGGTTGCTTGCCTCCACGAGGTGCATCATTTCTGGGTTGCTCGTCCATCGAACTTTGATGCTCATCAAGCTTGCTGCAGTAAGAAACCTGGGCTGAAGCTTTACGGCTCCGATCGATATGTCATTTTCATGCTCATGTTCCATATAGTTCGGCATACTAGATCCTTAGTGCTCCCGAACAAAACACAAATTGTGATAGTCCATTCTGCATGCCTGCCATGCTGATGCCTCACGAGGCAGGTTTTGCACAAGTCTCTGTTGGGAAATGGTGCCTCGTGATGTTGCTTATAGTTGCTGCAAGTTGGCACCTGACTTCGATGGAACCGCGTCCTGCAATCCATTTGGTACAGCGTGTGCCTGGTTTGACGTGCAAGTCTCCTCTGCGTCACATACCGAACCACAAGCAAGATTCCGGGACACTGGAAGGAGTATGGATGCCACGCGATTTCCAGTCTTTGCCAGTGTTGCCGGCAGCAGTTTGGAATGCCAGTGTAGCTAACCAGATAGCCAGACGCTGCTT